TTCCTGTGCATTTCAAGACTTGAAGTCAAGTCAGAGCTGGGAAAGGAGAAAGGTGGGGCCTCACCCGAGGTCCTGACATACAAGATCTTCTCAGCTGTAAATTTCATTCCCCAACTCTTTAGTCCTGGGCAGGCCATTTCTTATGTCCCCCCCCTTGCAGGCTCTATGACTGACATAGAGGAGAGAATGTTGGAGCAGGAGGGCCTGCTATGGGGACCTCCTTAAGTTCATACGCGCAAAGGTTGAGGGAGCTTCAGGCATTGCAGAGAGTTGTTTGCAGGCTATGAATTTCATGCTTCCCAGTGACTCAGGTAGGGTGAAACATGTGTAGGATAGCAGGAGAACCCAGTAGGCAAAAAAGGCAAACAACATCTGGGCACTGAATTATTTTTTCTAGGCCTTCTAGAATCATTAACCAAGCTATACTATAAATCTCTACCTAAGACAACTGTGCGCACATGATATACTAGGGTGATGTGGTATGAACAAGTGGTAATGCTTGCTCCTTCTATAGGTTCCAGCCAATGTCTAGCCATGTTAGGGAGCAATGGGGCTCTGGATAGCTAGGCTGTGTTCTGGAGAGGGCAGGACACTTCATTCTGTTCACACAGCAACTAAAGGTCCCCTTTGCCCTCTCAATTTCTACTGCCAATCTCTCCATGGCCTAAAGAATACTTTGTCCCAGATCACAATGTCTTGCGGCCTCTGAGTGCCTTCCCCATTTCCCAGAAGTTTCACTTCCTCGAAAGTCACAGCTCAACTCTACATCAGTGCCAGAGGCATTGCCAGGTATTTCCTCTGGATGCCTCCCAGGTTTGAAACCTTGAAGTCATCTCACATCTTTCTCCTCTAAGCAGCAGTCCTTAAGAACTGCTGAGATCCCCCCATCCTCTCACATATCCATTCTCTCCTCTGTACTGCATTGCCACTGATGGCAGTTCATGAGAACTGTTGCTACTAGCTCTCAGTTGGTCTTCCTGCCCCATGATTCCCCTTACTCATGCCCAATTCCGATCCATCTCACACATGACTGCTGCGGGGAACTCTTCCAATGCATGTCTGATAACATTACTCTCCTATTTAAAGCCTTCTGTAGCCTCCCCTTACTGCAGATGAGGTTGTTGGCCTGGGGTCAAAATTACAACCTTTCTAGGTTGATTTCCTGCTCCTCTCTCTCCCTGGCCCCAGCCTGGGTTCTGACCATACATGTCCACTTGCTGCTGCTCTACCCACTCCCAAGTTCCCCTTCAACTCCAGGTTTTGGCTCTGGTTTTTCCTTCAGTGTTGAATGTTCTGTTCTCATTTATGTTCCATTTATCCCTTCCTTTGAACAGCTGCACTCTCCAGACCCTCCCTAGACCACAGAGTGAGAATGTATCGCATACCTTCTATTATCCCCAGGCAGGCCACGAGTAGATGGTATGAGAGTAAAGCTCTTTCTGTCTATACCCAGCATGCATTTATGCACGAGAGGCATGGACAGCTCCTGATTTCTTTCTTTGGAGGCAAAGTAAGGGTTTTTTATTTTAATTTTTTTCATTATAATATTGACTTCTCAGAGAGGACATTAAAAATATTCGTGTCATTTAACCATTTACTGTGATGTTTATTAAGCCATTGGTTTGAGGATAAAATAAACACGTATTTTTATGCTACTCAAGAGAACACCGAAGAGAAAGACCATCAGTACCATCTTTTACAAAATCCTTGTATGCTGGAGGAATGGAGAAAGTTACTGTCAATTGCTTCATGTCCTTAAGAGAGGTTAAAACAAGACAATCTTAGCCAGGCACCAGTGCCTATAATCCTAGCTACTCAGGAAGCAGAGATCAGGAGGATCACAGTTTGAAGTCAGCCTGGGCAAATAGTTCCATGAAATCCTACCTCAAAAAAACTCTTCACAAAAAAGGGCTGGTGGAGTGGTTCAAGGTGAAGGTTCTGAGTTCAAGACCCAGTACCTCAAACAAACAAAAAAAACCCAAGACAATCTTGTTCTGGGGACTCAGTTGCCTAAATCACTAAACCAACTAAAGCTAAAAAGCAAAGGGTGATTCTCAGCCTTTAGCTACCTTTCAGTCTAAACCTGAAAGATCTGCATTCTATGCTTAATAAAATCAAGCTGTATTATGGGAGTTCTAAGCATGATCAATCAAGCAGAGCAGACAGCAGATGGGAAGTGCCACTTGGTCGGAATGAGGGCTACCATGCAGTAATTTTTGTTGAAATTTCTGAATTACAGGAATTTGGCTTAAATTTGATTTTTTTGGATGCAAATATTCATTCAAAATGAGTTTAAAAATGGGGGAGAGGTGGCAAGACATTTTAGTATAATTTAAGAGAACAAAGTCACCCTGGGGGTGAATTATGATCCTTTCTAGTTGTAAACTAGAGTTGCTAAAAACATTTTGGACTAATTTCAAGCATACAGAAAAGAAGGAAGCACAACAACTCTATGCCTATGTTTAACAACAGTTTTTTTCTTTCTTTTTTGCTGAACCATTTGGGAATAAGTTTGCAAGTGTTGTATCTCTTTTTTCCTTAATATTTCAGTATGCATTTCCAAAGAACAAAAACATGCTCTCACAAAACCACATGAGTTATCAAATTTAGGAAATCTAATATAAATTATAATCTACAGACAATATTCTGATGTGGTCAGTTGTTCTAATAATTTCCTGTAGGGCACTTCTCCCCTTCCAGTGTGGAATCTGGTCCATTTAAACTGCACTTAGTTGTCACAGAATTCTTGATTTTTTTTTCACACCTCAAATCCTGTTTTTAGACAAGGATGAGCAATATAAAACAAGATAGGTAAGCTTCCTGCAGCAGTCTCACATATGGAGTTTTACACATAAAAGGCATTCAATATAGAAGTATTGATTTCTACTTCTTGAGAAAAAATTCAAAGTAGAACATAGTAATATACTTTTACTGTAAATGAACTTAGAAAAAACTTTTCTAAGTATCATTTTAAGGAAAAGCTGCATTTGGTAAAAGGAATGGATCTGTAAGAGCAGAATTTTCGATATGGAGGAGGTCTGGTTAGGGGCTGGGGTGGATAGGGCACAGCTTATAGATCTCTTGCAGCACCATTTAAATGCTTTCCATTGAGAGGCAAGGCTGGTCCTGGCTAAACTGCCCTGGAGTAGCACCGCAAGAGATTACATAAAAACGAGTTTCTTCCTTATATGCTGAGAAGAGTACACAAGACCATTACAACCGAGGCTTCAGATTCCAGCAAGTTCATACATTCCAGCAGCACAGGCTGTGCCTGACTCAGTGAGCAGCCCTTGCCTTGAGCATGTAGGGCCCTGCATCAGTTACAGACACCGCATGCCTGCTTCCCCTCTTAACAGTTGTTCATTAAGGTGAACTTCTTTGCTCAGCTTGTGACCCCTGTCTCAGAAAGGCATTCTTGCTTCTCATTGCAATGACTGGTGCAGAGACCTTTCTGGATACCTATGTCTAAGCACAAAGAACCTAAGTCCACCACAGTAGTCACTCTCCCAGATGGCTGCCTGTCCAGAGGTGGACACTGCACCTGCTTCCTGTCCCTTTCAGCCATGAGCTCATTTTCTACCCTCAAGCCAAATTCCCTTTTGCTTCCTTTGGCTACAGATATACCCAGGATCCAGGGTTGTAATAGCTCATATTTGTAGATGTGAGCTTAGCACTACCCATTTAGGCCACTCTTCTTTCTCTCCCACTCCTGCCTCTTAGGTTAATGTTGTCACCAAATGAAAGAATCAAAGCACAGGGAGGAGAAATTTAACTTACACATAGTTATCCTTCTGTCACATATAAAAACTGATATGTCTGTGGATCTGTGATTCCTGGTTTACATAAACAGATAACTAAGCCTTGGTCTTATTTAAAATAGATGATATAGTAATTAACAAAAGACCACATACCAAATTTAATAAAAATTAAATTTCTATTTTTGAAAAACATTTTTTGTAGGTGCCAGCAGACTATGGCTAGCAGATCAAATCTGAGAAGCTGCCTGCTTTTGTAAATAAAGTTTTATTGGAGCACAGTTATGTCCATTTATTTATCTATTGTTTCTAGCTGTTTTCCCACTAAAATGATAAGAGCTGAGAAAGACAGTGAGTGGAGAATAAAACCTAAATATTCACTATCTGGCTTCTTTCAGAAAAGTCTGCCAACCCCTATGTTACAGTAAAAAGTCAATGCAAGGATATACCCAAAAGACTGTGACACAGGTTACTCCAGAGACACCTGCACACCCATGTTTATTGCGGCACTATTCACAATAGCCAAGTTATGGAAACAGCCAAGATGCCCCACCACTGACGAATGGATTAAGAAAATGTGGTATGTATACACAATGGAATTTTATGCAGCCATGAAGAAGAACGAAATGTTATCATTCGCTGGTAAATGGATAGAATTGGAGAACATCATTCTGAGTGAGGTTAGCCTGGCCCAAAAGACCAAAACTCGTATGTTCTCCCTCATATGTGGACATTAGATCAAAGGCAAACACAACAAGGGGACTGGACTATGAGCACATGATAAAAGCGAGAGCACACAAGGAAGGGGTGAGGATAGGTAAGACACCTAAAAAACTAGCTAGCATTTGTTGCCCTTAAAGCAGAGAAACTAAAGCAGATACCTTAAAGCAACTGAGGCCAATAGGAAAAGGGGACCAGGAACTAGAGAAAAGGTTAGATCAAAAAGAATTAACCTAGAAGGTAACACCCACGCACAGGAAATCAATGTGAGTCAATGCCCTGTATAGCTCTCCTTATCTCAACCAGCAAAAACCCTTGTTCCTTCCTATTATTGCTTATACTCTCTCTACAACAAAATTAGAAATAAGGGCAAAATAGTTTCTGCTGGGTATTGAGGGGAGAGGGAGAGGGAGGGGGCGGAGTGGGGCAGGGGGGAGAAATGAACCAAGCCTGGTATGCACATATGAATAATAAAAGAAAAATGAAAAAAAAAAAAGTCAATGCAAAAGGAAAAGAATGAGGTACCTGTTGACTGGCAGGTGTTTTCTTGTGACATAGCTGTTGTCACAGTTTCTGTGGCTGCATCTCTCACGGCTTGCTCTTCACTCTGCAGGAGGATAAGGACACACCTCCAGAGAGCAAGTGTATCCTCCAACTCTGAAAAGACCAAAAGGAATTCAAATCATCTAGGATGCAATCACCAAACAGGTACAAATACTGCTCCAACTCCATGGTGGAGGAGAGCAGCACTGAATGAGCAATGACTATTCCTTTTTTTTCCTGGGTACTGTAAGACAGTAAGTCCCGAGTGGCAGACCAACACTGGAATAGAGAGGGCTCTAAGGAGGAGATTTGGAAATGGCTTGTTTTGGGAAGGGGACAGGTTTTCTGGAGGCAATCAGCCACAGATAAGACCCTCAGAAGATGTTGCCTGGCTGACAAAGGCCTTAGGCTTAGCTCTTTGCAGTGCCATGATTCTTAAGAATAAAACTTTAGCTGGGCACCATGGCTCGTGCCATAATTCCAGCTACTAGGGAGACAGAGATTGGGAGGATCACAGTATGAGGCTAGCCAGGCAAAAAGTTAGTGAGACCACAACTCAACAATAAAAGCTGGGTGTGGTAGTACGTGCCTGTCATCCCAGCTATACAGGAAGTTTAAGGAGGAAGATTGTGATCTAGGCCAGTCCAGGCAAAAATGTGAGACCCTATCTCAAAAATAACCAAAGCAAAAAGGGTGTGGGGGTGTGGCTAAAATGGTTTTGTGCCTGACTAGTAAGTGAGAGGTCCTCAATTCAAAACCCAGTACCCCTACACACACACACACACACACACACACACACACACACACACACACACACAGAAGAAATGTTATGCATGAAGAAAGCTTTGTAGGCCTGGGCACCAGTGACTTATGGCTGTAATCCTAGGTACCTGGGAGGGTGGGATTGAGAGAATTGTGGATCTAGGCCAACCTGGGCAAATAGTTCATGAGACCCCCATCTCTGAAATACCACAGCAAGATGGACTGCAGGTATGGCTCACACAACAGAGCCCCTGCTTTGCAACTGTGAAGCCCTGAGTTCAAACCCCAGTCCTACCAAAAAGAAAAAAAGAGTACTTTGCAGGAACTAATCCAGTGTTATCTTGAGTGATTGTGAGCTTATTAATTTTGAAAGCAACATATCAATCAAAATTATGCTTTCAGGGCAAGAATCAAAAAAGGGAAGGCTCAGAAAAAGGTACCAGCCCACTGTCACACATTTGTGGGTCTCACTATTGCTGCCATTACTTCCAGATCCAGACTCTCCTACTCAGCCTGTGCTAGGTGCTGTTGTGGATGAAAGACACAGAAGCACACCATCCACCCCTGAGGAAAAAAGTGTAAAGTCTAGAACATAGGCAATGTGTGGTCAAGTATGAAACTGGGCAGTCATAACTTACAAATGGGAGTATCATAACGGGTTGTTGGAACTGGGATAACTTCAGGAAGGCAGGTAGGGGTAGCAGGCCCCACAGACAGGATTACTTTTGTACAGGTGGGATGTGCTAGGCCTATGGAGGGTCTCAATGGAAGGCAATAGCAAACCACTACCAGCATTCCTGTCCTTTCGACAGGGAAGGAATCCTGTCTTAGGAACTCCACTTTTCCCACTCTTTCCCTCATCTGTCCACAGAGATCCTGCTATCAGAGTCACTGTCACTTCTGTCAAACTAAGAATAGCAATGGCTTCACTCTGTAGTTCTGTTCTCTTCTTTCTGTTCCAGATGGCTTTAAAATCTGTTCATTCAGAATCCATCCTTTTTAACTGTTTTCTCTAGGGTTTCATACTTTCCTTTCTTAAATCTCTCTAGTCCTCTTTAGTCAATTTCAATTTGTCCCCATGCACTTCTCTGTCTCGGTTTCTCAGATCAGCAGCTGTTTTTCATGTTTACATAGGCTAATAGCCAGCACTGATCTCCTTTGTCATTTCTATAATACTACAATTAGCACCAACAATATATTGTGAACCAATGGCTTTGACCAGCCTTCAGTTCCACACAGGAATTCCAGGTTGTTCCACACACATCTTTATCAATTATGAGCCAGGGTTAGTGTGGCCCAAATAACTCAGAAAATGTGCTGCAAAACTCTACTGGAGAAGCTTATCCAAAGCGGTCTTGCTATATTACCCAGGATGGTCTTGAACTTGTGGACTCAGAGATCTTTCTGCTTCAGCCTCCTAACTAGCTGGGACTACAGGTGTGTACCACCATACCTGGCTTGACCAAAGTTTATACACCTTTGCTCTTGTTTCTCTGGGCCCAATGATTAAATCAAAATCATAGGTGGCTCTCTCTCAATCCCACTTTGGGTATAAGAAAAATGTCTGGATGTCACTAAGAAGAAAGAAGTAAAAGGATATCAAAGAAGACCTTGTTTCCCAGAGTTAAAGCAATAAAAGACAGTTCATTGGTCTGAACTCCTGTAACACTTAAAAATTTGGATCTCACTATTTAAAAACAATTATAAAGGAAATCCTTTATTCTGGAAATTGGCCTCCACAACTATATTGAAAACTCCTTAGGGACAAGGAATAATTCTTATTCTTGAGGACTCTGCTTGGAATTGATAAATAAAAGCAGAATTCCACTAATAGATGGGAAGAGAATCAGAGCACTGTAAGACAGGATTAAACATGGCAGGAAAGGCTGGGGCCAGTTCTGAAGCATGGTTTCAAATCCTTGGCTTTCCTTTATAAAGCTCTGTACTCAAAATCAAAACAAAACCCAAGACAACACAGATTTTGAAAACTAAATACAACAAGACCCCATATGCTTTTCAATTTCTGAGGATTTCTTTAAGCTTAGCTTTCCTCAGCATTGTTAGCACAAGGCCCTTTCCTAATTATTATTCTTGAGACACAGGGAGTGGCAGTGAGGAAAGAGACATGGAGGTGGAGAACATGGCTAAGATCTGTACAACCACTTGACTGCAAAACATCTCTTTCATGTTCCAAGGACACTGCACTTAAACTAAGTTCAGTGAAAGGAACCAGCAGCCACCTAGTGACTTTGGCTGAAAGCTTGGAAGCCATCCTCAAATCTTCCTTAACCTCAGCAACACTGAGTCTTGGGAGGATGACTCACTTAGTGTCTTTTGAGCCTGTCTTCTCTTTTCCTTCTGCCACAACTTCACACTTAGCCATTCATTTCTTACCTATATTAGTGAAATAGGCTTCCTGGAAGAGGCGACAGTTGGGCTGAGTCTTGAAAGACAAATAAGTCAGTCAAGCAGAGGTTTGTTTATAAAGAACTATTCCCTCCTGCTGACACACAGGGCCTGAGGTAAGGAGTGGTGGGTGATGAAGTAGGAGGAGTAGGCCAGGGATGGAACACTAAGGCCCTAACAGCCATATTAAAGGGCCTTTAGATTTTATTCTGAAGGCACTAGGAACCCACTCCAAAGGTTTTTGCAGTAGACTGAAATGATCAGATTTATATTTCAGAAAAACCACAGAGGCTTTCTGGAAACTACACAGAAAACTGGATGATAAGGTTGAAAGAAAAAAGCTTAAAAGGCTGTTAGTGAGAAACCATCACAGAATGAACTAAAGAGGGTGGAATATACTGAAAAGATTTAAAGGTATGGTACAGGCTGCCATTTGTCACCCTCTCTTCTCTTTTGGCTAGAGTATCCATTCATGCTTTTAATGAGTGTGGTACAACAGGCACCCTCTCAGCTCACTTACCCAGAATCGGACATGGGTTGGTGAGGAACAATGGTGTGGTGCTGGTGAGGACTTCAGCAGCAGCCAGCCTTGAGTTCATGGGAAGACTATCTCCACAGGACAAGACAATCAGCTGCACCCACTGCTTCAGCTCAGGAGTTATAGAGTCCCTTTTCTGAAAGAACAAAACATGCCTATCGGTAGTCTTGAAGGGATAACTGTGGACTGACATGGAAGTAGGGAAGAGCTATCCTAAACTGTGTCTGCAAGTCAGGTCTTACCTCAGCAGGAACTAAGTTTTACTTGCTTTTCTATCCTAATGAGGGAGAAATAAATAAGCCCAACGAAGACAATCTGACTTGTCTTTTGGAAACTAATCTTAGAGGGTAAGTTCCTTCAGCTTTGCCTGATGCATACCAGGTTATCACAACACTGGTGTATTTGATAGCTTCAGTAAAAACCAAGCTTGTGGAGAAGACAGTGGCAACAAATAACTTGTCTCCAAAAGCCAGATGCTTTTCCTATATTTACTAATAGAACCCCAGATATTTAGCTAGGCCTGTGGGTACACAAGTAAAGACTACACTTCCCAGCCTCTCTGGTATTTGAGAGCAACCCATGATTATGGTCTGACTAATGTACTACCACTGGAAGTGGCATCTGTGCCCTTGCAGGTCATGCCTTAGGAAATTCTCTTGATCTTTACTTCCTGTGTCTCCCTCTCCTGCTAGCTGAATAGGACAAGATGGTGGGAGTTGGAACAACTACTTGGAAGCCACATGTTGAGGACACCAGATCCACAAAGTGGAAGGGCCAGGGCCCAACACGGTCAAGCCACCGTATTTTCTTTGGACTGCTTTCTATCTGGTGTAAGCCACAGTATTCCTGAGTTTCTGCTACAAAATTTAAAAGCAGCATCCTAACCAATACTCTGTTTTAAAAGTGCCCTGTTGCTAAAAATAGTAATAGCTTTATTGAGATATAATTCACATACCACACAATTTACTCATTTAAAGTAGACAAGTCAATGGGTTTTAGTATATTCACAGATATGTGTAACCACTACCATAGTCAATTTTATTATTTTTTGGTATTTTGCTTTAAATTTTAAAAAGAAATTTTAACTGATACACAAAATTGTACTTACTTATGGCATACCAGGTGACATTTCAATACATGTGTACATTGTAAAATAGTCAAATCAGCAAACATATCTCCCCAGTCAATTTTAGAACATTTTCATCAACACAGAGAGAAACTCTATACCCTATAGCTATTGCTCCTTCATCTTCCTATTCCTTTAGCCCTAAACAACTACTAGTCTACTTTCCATTTCTATGGATTTACCTTATTCTGGACATTTCATATAAATTGAATCATACAATATGTGGTCTTTTGTGACTGGCTTCTTTCAATTGTAGTGTTTTTTTTTTTTTTTCAAGGTTCATCCATGCTGTAGAATGTATCATCATTCTGATTCTTTTTTAAGCCAAAATATTATTCCATTCTGAGCTGAATGACATTTGGATTGTCCTATTGTTTATAGTGCATAGTTTATTTTCAGTTTTCTTAGAAAGGAAATTGTCATTTCAGATGTACTTTACTTCCTGCTCTGGTTTGAATGTTTCTTCTATAAATCATGTTGAAATTTAATTGCTGCTGTGACAGTATTATAAGGGAGTATTATCTGAGAGGTGATGCGGTCATGACGATGGAGCCCTCACGACATGAATGGATAAATGCTTGTTATCTCTAGAGTGCTATAAAGGTGAGTTCATCTCGTTCTCCCTGCCCCCACCCCCCACTCTGTGATGCCCTCTCTTAAAAGCTGCATTACTAGGGTTATGCTCTTAGACTTTCCAAGCTTCCTGAACTATGACTATGAGAAATAATTTTTGTTTTGGCAGTACTGTCGTTTGAACTCAGGGCCTTGTGCTTGCTAGGCAGATGCTCTACTATTTGAGCCACTCTCCAACCCTTTATTGTTTTAGTTATTTTTCAGGTAGGGTCTTCCTTTTTTGTTCCAGGCTGCCCTCAGACCTTGATCCTCCTACTTTTGCCTCCTGAGTAGCTGGGACCAGAGGTGTGTGCCACTATGCTCAACTTATTTTATTGAGATGGAGTCTCTGCCTGAGCTGGCCTTGAATAGAGCAGACAGATGTAAGCTGCTGCTCCCAGCTTTTTTGAGACAGGTCTTTCTAAGCAGTCAAGGCTGCCCTAGAACTCACTATGTAGCCAGGTTGGTTTTTAAATGTACTATCCACCTGTTTCAGCCTCCCAATTGTAGGGGGTGTTCCTACAGTCCTCCTCCTACCTCTCATGATTTCCTTTTTCCTTCCTTTCCTTTTCCTTTTCCTTTCCTTTTCTCCTTTACCCTCCCTTCCCTTCCCTTGTTAATCCTCACCCTCTGGTTTTATCTTGACTCAGCCTCAGGCTCTCTGAACTTAACAATGTCCCCTACCAAGTCTTCTTCAGCTCCTAGGCATGCTTTCTTCCTCTGGGTTCCTGAGCCCTACCATTTAAAGTACTTATCCAAAGCTATCTTTCCCTCATTTGATTGTACCTCTAATCTGTTTATCTTTGTCTTTTCACCATCATCTCAGTGCCGGGTTTATTATAAGGACTCAGAATCTACAACCTATGTCACCACTATTACTGTGTAGAAAGGTATGATTATATTGCAGTATTGGTCTTTGTCTACTACTCCGTGATGATGGTATCATTCTTTTTTTATTTTTATTGTTTTGGGTGGACTGGGGTTTGAATTTGGCTTTGTGCTTGCAAAGCAGGCACTCTACCACTTGAGCCACATTGCCAGTCCATTTTGCTCTGGTTATTTTGGAGACAGGGCCTCATAAACTATTTGTCAGGTGTGAGTCACCAATGGCCAGCTCATGGTATCTTTCTTCTTTGCACCTAAGCATGTATATCTTGGTCTTAGAGCATCTTCCCAGAAAGTTGTTTTGCTTACTTTAGCTCTACTTCACCCTCAAAGGACAGGTGAAACAGATGTGTACATCTGGATCCCTATCCAGAGACAGCTGACACATGTTCGGAGCAAATATTTGAGTCTGCATGATATATTTTCATATTTAGTTCACTAGTTTGTAATCTTAAACATTCTTAGAATTAACATGCTCATTCCTCTTCTACTAGAGTCTAGCTACAAAAATGGAAGAAAACAACAGGAATATGTGTGTCAGGGGGATATTGTGTTACATTCATGGACTCCAAGCAAAAATGCCCAAAACAAAAGAAAGGAAAGTTGATGCTCAAAATGAAAAATCAACATGAGCAATGTTTTTGTAGAGGCCATCCACACAAGTCACAGTGATTCTGCCTGCTGGGACAGTTAACTTTTACTAACATCTTCTCAGTAAATAAGAGCACAAAAACTCAGGCCCCAGGACAGGAATAGATTCAGCCTTACCTCCTCACATGTCTGCAGGTAGTAGGCAATCACTCTGGAGGTAAGTCTCAGAGACACACTCTGGATTTCAGATCTGGGAAAAGATACACACACACACACACACACGCAAATCAAACACAGTTTATTCATAGATGGTTTTTGTGGATACCTTGTAACCAATGTGGACTTAAAACCTTTACCTCCTGGCTATACAAAGATTTCCCAAAGCAATTACATTTTGGTTATTAATGTGAAACTGACATCATTCCTTTGCTGGAACTCAGAATACAGCTCCTAGGCTGAGGCTGAGAGCCCATAGTCCAGGACTGTGAGCAGGTTCACTGCACAACAAACTAATGGGTTCCCACATGCCACCTAGGTTGCACAGGGGCACTGGGGCAAACCTGTCATTGGAAGCAATATCCATCATCCAGATCAAGAATTCCTTTGGTGTTAGATGGACACAGAGCTCTGTCTGGGGAAGCCACTCCCTGGGGTCCATTCGATAGAGAATCTTCAGTATCTGTGTGAGCCAAATCCATGAAAAAGAGAGAAAGAAATACTCAGGAAAAGTCTCCAGGTAGTAAGTAATTACCCCTGTGTTGAAGAGGAGGATCTGTTTTCCAAAAGGCTTCCAACTGACTTATTACCCCCATGTATCTGTGAGAATCTGAGACAGGGTGGAGCAATGATAAACTGAGGGCCCTTAGTGACCTGTGATGGGAGCTAGATGCCCAGATTCTTAGTGCTCTTTCATTTGATTATGCTCCTCAAATGAGCATCTGACCTCAAATAGGCATGTCAGCAAAGATGACCTCTGATGCATTCCAAAGTTAATTTTCAATGTTCTTCACTGGTGGTATGGCTCCAGTGGCAAAGCACTTGCCTAAGAAGTGTAAAGCCCTGTGTTCAAACCTCAGTACCACCAAAAAATTTTATTCAATATTCTATTTCCTAAACATCCCAGAGTGGCCCATTCTGCTTTTGGTTAATCTCTGCTATTAATGCCACTAACATCACCTGCTTTTCTTAGTGTCCTTCTACGCACAAAGCCATGCCAAGTACCATACAAAGGGTCCTTATCTTCTGGATGCCAAATCTACTTCCTGTTGCTGCCCAGAGACCTCACACCTGATCCTGCCTTCCTCATTCTACTTTCCTGATGGCTCACCAAAGAATGTGATAATGAGAGGGGACCTTCAGTCTGTCAGAGATATTTACCTTGCAGAAGCATTCTGGATGGGCTTCCTTCATTGCCAGCAGCAGGAGCTCCTCTCCTAATCCAGATGCTGCTGATGAGAATCCTTTCAATAGGGTGCCCAGTGTCAGCAAGCGTACTTCAGGAAAGGGAGACTGTAGCAACTGAGAGAAGGTGATGGGAACATCTCTTGTTTGCCCTCCAGTCTCAGCCAGCACTGTCTGCACTGCAGTGATGGTTAGTTTGGTGAGGCTCTCCAGGTACTGGGGAAGGCCTGGCACCCTGACGGTCCAGAGGAACCCTGTTACCAGCTCTGACCCAGAGATGATCCCTCTCACTTCCTCCCAGAAGCCAAGACTCTCCAGAACTAGAAGGCAAAAAAGCAGAGGAAAAGATGTTTATTTAACTCTGCAAAAAGAACATGGAAGAATGGAAGGCTCTGAATACACTGGGTAGGACCACCAGATATATTTCCTAGGTGGATTTCAAACAAACAATGTTGTAAGTACTAGCCCACAAAAGTTTGCTTTATGCTCAAAAGCAATTTATATTTAGGTAATTCACAATTCATCCCAAATGGAAAAAAGACACTACTATCAGAAAATGTACTCCTGGAACCCCTCCTGAACATTCAATAAATCTTAACTTAGTGAACTCCTGAATCACCAAGCCTCAAAGCTGACCAGAAGAAAAGTTCAAACTTCCTTAGGGGCTCAGATTCCTCTAAAAGGCCTTCTCTGGGAGCTCTAGGTTGGACTCAAGTCATTGAGATAGTTTATTTCACTGTTAGTAGATCTAATTGTCACAAAGTTCTTTTGGGGGTTTCCATTCACTGGACTAATTCTGCACTGAAGCTTCAATAACAGCTTTGTAAGCGTCTATCCGACTGTAGTCACTGTGCCCAATTTGTCTTCTCCAGATGAAACACCTCTACTTTCTGCCCCTATGACGCGGCTCACCTTTCACTATTCCAGCTGCACTGTTTGCGACATGCCCCATCCTCTCTCAAAAGCATGGCCCACAGGTTGGGCTCCAGCATGGTCCGTCCAGCAGGACTATTCACTTTCTCTGTTCTGGACATTAGGTGACAGGTCACACTGGTGACTCATGTGGCACATGAGGTCAGCTGGAACCACAGCCCTTCTTCTTTACATGGCCTGCTGAGGGGGATGAGTCATCTTTCCCTCACCTTGTTCTCAGTGAGGTCCAGACTTGGTTTCTTTGTTGGTTTTAACCCCAAGTTTATCCCTGTTAAATTTTATACCAGTTGAGTTTTATGGTCTGCCTTTTCATTGTTGAGGTTTGTTTGTTTATTTATTTGTATTCTTAGTTCTGATCTGAAAATATTTTGCCTGATTCTTAGGTGCTAAGTAAAGTAAGATCACTGCCCGTAAGGAGTTGGCAGTCTAGTAGGAGAAAGAGAAATGCATGAACAGAACCACTTGAGCTAAGGTTAAAGGATATGGAATGGAATGGACCATGGAGGAACTAAAGGCTGTCTGATTTACAGGAACACAAAATGTGAGGAGGGGAAGGGCAGAGATGAGGTTACAGAAGGAATATGGCCAGGATGCAAAAATCTTCCTGGGCCACGTGAACAAGCTTGGATATTTTTCTGTAAGCAAAGGAATGTCACTGAGGAGTTATTTTAATTTTTTGTTCTTGTAAGACAGGGTCTCCCTACATGGCCCAGGCTGACCTCAAGTTTTCTATGTAGCCCAGGATGCCCTCAAATTCTTTATTCTCCTGCCTCAGACTCCTGAGTCCTGGGATTACAGACATGTACCACCATACCTAGCCTTAGGGTTATTTTAAGCAACAAAGCAATGAGGGTATTTTTTACTGAAATGTTCTTAATACTGAGAAGACAGTATTAGAGCAGAGAAACTAGCTAGACTATTGAAGTTGGGCACAGTGCCTCATACCTTTAAACCCAATTATTTGGAAGGCAGAGATAGGAGAATCACAGTCTGGGTAAAAAGCTAGTGAGACCCTCAGCTCAAGCAGGAGACAAGTCATCTTTATAAAGCAGCAAGGAATGCCAGGGAATCAGAATTTTCAACTTTTGTGCCATCTTTATTTTCAATGCCTAAAGCCCAAATCCCAGTACATGGCAGTAATGAGAAGACTACTGTGCTCTCTAGGTACTATGTTCTATCTTTACCACCCACTGCTTCCCCAGGATAATAATACTACATTAAAAAGAACTTCATTTGCTTGGCAAAAAGTCAGAAACAAGGCTCAGAGATCTGCTCTTAAGAAAATAATCAAGAGCCAGGCATGGAGGTGCACACCTGTAATGCTAACAATAGAGAAACTAAGGCAGGAGGATGAGGCCAGCCTAGGCTACATAGTGAGACCCTATCTCAAAAAACAAAACAAAACCAAAGTAAACAAAGCCCAAACTGTAATCAGTGACAGGAAGAGCTGTCTAGGCCATCCTGGGCAATTTTCAGAGGAGGCTGTTATCTGAAGGATAACAGGCAGAGTTCTAGGCAGAGTGTATAGTCTCTGAACTTGAGAGATAGACACCCAGACCTAGAAGTTTCCTGTAGAAGAGGACCAGGGACTGAAGGCACCACTCCAAAGAAGAGGGAAACAGGAAATAGACTCAGCGAGGGTCCTTTGGGGACACCTTGACTGCACTGCTGGTGGACTCAGGAATAATTTCATACATATTAATTGAGTACTTCGGGGGATACAGAGATTAAGAACTGACAGAGAATGATCTGCTGTTAAACAGCTTTAAAACTAAGAGAAGGATAAAGGCCAAGTACAAAATAATACTGAAAAGAAAAGTATAAAAACTGCAAAATGAGGTGGCATGGTAGTGCACACCTGTAGCCATAGCGCTCAGGAGACTCAGGAGAATCCTCATGGTGAGGCCAGCCTGGGTTACATAGCAAGACCCTGTCTCCA